GTTCTTGCATATTTCTCTGCAAGTCCATCAGCATGGTTATGACTTTTGTTTTGAATTCTTTTTCAGGAAGACTGGTTAAATCTATCTCCCCAGGTTCCTTCTCAGGGGAAGATGTAGCAGATGCCGAAGCTGTCTGGGTTAGTCTTGTCTGGATCTTATTTTTTTGCCTTTTCATGTTGACAGGTGCTATTGACTGTCAGCTGGGAGGGCCAAACTTTTCACTTGCTACTGGCCTTTCTTTTCTGGGACAACTGCGATCCCTAGTGGCTTGTGTTGGGTAATTGCGTGTAGACTGGGTCTTTGTGAATTGCCCGGCCAGTATGGAGGAAGCGCCCCGGAAGGGTAATGGATGGGGGAGGGGCTGTTTGGCTGTTTACCTCCATGAGAGGTCTCTGGGCTGTGACCTGTGCTGTCCAGCTGTTACGTCCCTGTCCCTTTAAGACTTTCAAAAAGCACTCGCTTTTCTTTGTCACAGGGGCATCAGCTTCGGAACCCGCTCAGAGTTCTTGCTGCCCTGTTTCCCTAGTATCCAGGACCCCGCGCATGCACTGTGTCTGCGCTCTGGTGCAGGTGGCTGGGGCTGGGTGTTTAGCAGTCCTGGGCTCCCTCTCCCTCCCCACTCTGACTCCTCTCCTCCCGCTGGGAGCTGGGGTGAGGGTCGCTCGGGTCCTGCCTGACAGGGGGTTATATCTTACCCCTTTCACCAGGCGCTGGGCTCTCGCACATGTGGATGTAGTCTGGCTGTTGTCCTGTGTCATCTGGTCTCTCTTTTAGGATTAGTTGTATTTGTTGTATTTTCACAAATATATATGTTTTTGGGAGGAGATTCCCACTGTCTTACTCATGCCGCCATGTTGGCTCCGCCTCAATATTACTATATTTTAATCCAGTACACAGTACTGGCATTTCAGTATGAAGTCAGTATAAAATTATTTAGATATTTTACATTCTTTATTTCTTAATAAAGCTTTGAAAACTGGTGTATGTTTTACACTTACTGCACATCACAGTTCAGAGTAGCCGTATCGGACAGATTGCTGTAAGATACTAGAAAGCAAGGCCAAGTAAAAAATTTCAAAGGAACTTGGAAGCTCTGGACTTTATATAACTTTTCAGTGAAGAAGTTTTTTAATGCTTCTTGAACTTTATCCTGGGACTCAGTTGAAATAAGATTTCTAAAAACACTGTATATGTTTGAATTTGTGCAAGTATTCTACTTGATATTTCTTAAATTCCCCTTACTACAGAAAAAAGATCAGGTAACTGAGATGGAAAGATCCCAACCTAAGAACAAACCAAACATGAAACTACATTATACTTCATGCAATTAAAAAAAGAAATCCTTCATCCTTTACCATTGGCATATTTCCCATTATTGGAAAAATAACAGCTTTTCTATGAATTTTTCATTTTCTTTGAAACTGTGTAGAAAATATTGAGAATTTCTGAAGATTTTAATTGCATCCTTTTAAGCAGTTTGTCTTATATATTCTAATTGCTGTGATTTGTGATATTTGTGAGGATGGTCATTTTTATGGAAATTTGCCCTTTTATAATTAATCCACTTAAAAATAATTAGTCTTAAAGCAAAAACCTACTTACTTCAGTTCTTACTTGTGTAGAGGTATCTTTACATTTTAACTATTCCGTTTAAAAAAGATTTCACACCTGTTAATCAAATGAAAACAGACCTTTAAAAGGTCTTTCAGGTTTTAAATAGATTTATCTATTTAAGCAGTTCATCCCTATGATGAAATGAGCAGTGCCTTACCAGCTTCTAAATTAGGTAGCTTTTAAACATATATGTTGATAAGTTACTTCAGAGTAAGTTTTTCCAACTTAAATTGTTGTGGTACCAAAGGGGAGCAGAAAATGCCACCCCCAAAATATGCCTCTTTGGCATAGGATTATTTTGAAAAACTGCAGATGTAAGAGAAGCTCTGAAAACAGAGTAGATGTCCCCTTCTGGTAAGGGGTATTTACATTTATAAAGGCAGTTTCCATTTGTAAGTGCCTCTGTACCAGAGAATCTTGTGACTTGAAGTCACAGACTCAAAGTCACCAGAGAATACTATCAGTGGAGAAAGGCACTGATTTAAATATAAGTAACAAACCTTTCTTGCCTGGCGCCCTCCCATAGCTACCCCCAGACATCTTTCTTTTGTCTTTAACTGAAGATGGTGTTTAAGGTGGTGGTTTGGGCCATCTCAGGGAGTTACTTGGTTTTCTTGGGTGTATGTTTATATGAGGTATATGTGTTATTAAGCTTCTGTTTTTCTCCTGTTAGTCTGTCTTTTATTATAAGGGGGTCTCAGCCAAGAACTCAGAAGGGTAGAGGAAAAAATTCTTTCCTCCCCTACTGTACTCAACAGTGAAGTAAGTCCCCAATATCCTGTACTAGTTAGGTCAGAAGAGACTTTTCAGCCATTTATGTAGTTTAGAAAAAAAGAGGAGTTTGAAAACCCTTTTTATTTTAAACATTTGTACTGCCACAACCTAAGATTGAAGGCTCTGTTTGGAGTTAGCATAGTAAGGTGGAATATACTGGCTTAAGGGGTTAACATCTAAGTGGTCTCACTCTGTGATAAGTTTCATGAAATAAAAGTTGTCTATCCTAGAAAAGTACAAATTGAGTTTTTAGAGCCTGCCATTAAAAATTAACAGCAATAAGATAAGATTTTGTTTATAGTGTTCAGATTCTGTTTTTTATAAGGTAAAGACTACTAAATGAGAGAGGATCTTTTCTGGACATGGCGCTAACAGTTAAATGTACTTTTTATTCCTCCATATGAGACAAAAAAAGAAAACAGTTATTAAATCTATATGTTTTAGAGTCATGAGCCCAGAGATACAAGGTGGGTGATAATGTGCAGTTAAAAGCAACAGTTGAGGCCAGAGAAACAAGCCCATCATCTCCTTTTTATACTTATAGTAATAGCTGAAGAACCCAGTGGTTTTCTGTTCTACTGTAAGGCTAAGTTCACATTCCTCATTGGGCCTGACTTATTATGCCTGCAGTAAGGAAGGTTTACGGTCTGAAACTCAGTTCTCTTTACCACTGGAGTAAGGGTTCCACCATTTATCATGAAAGACAAATTGATCAACTACAAGTGAGCTCATTAATTTTCAATGGACAATAAGCATAACTCCAAATGAAACTGATTAAAGCTTCCCCAGATCTCAGTTTCTTTTCTTACCTGCTTAGGAAGGCTGCTTACCTTAGATGTTAATGTCATTTCCAGTTCACAGTGAGGATTTCCAGTGTTCTACAGGTGGCTATGCTCCAGATTCCAGGGAGAATTCCATCCAGAGATTGTTAGCTGACCCCACTTTCAGCAGGGACTGTTCCTAAAAAACTCTAGAGCCAAAGAGCCTTTTGAGCACAAGGCCAGAGAGAACAACCTAGGGGGAATGTAAGGTTACAGTTTTGTTTTGTTTTAATAAAATCCCGAGGACCTACATAAGGTTGCCAGCACTTTATGTTGCCAGGTATAGATATTTTAATGCCAAAAACATAGGAAAGAATCTGAGAATAAAAGATCTTTTATATTAAATGAATTTAGTTTTATGAAAGACTGTACAGTCTTCATTTTCTCTTTGTACCATTCTGGGGAAAAACTGTTATGAACTGTCATGGCCATTGATGAACCGTTGTTATTAAGCACCGGCATATTGTAGAGCTGGAGGGCTCACGGAAGGAAGCACACATGAAAACCACATGTTCAGTACAGTATGGCAGGTGCTATGGCTAGGTCCAGGAGTCACACAGCAGGCTGAAGTCAGAGAAGACTTAGGGAACATACAAAATTAACATAACATGCTATATAACATTTCTGTCTTTTTGATTGGCCGGAATATAGCATAACCACTATCTGTGGATGATGAATTAGAAAGTTAATCTCTGCTGGACCGCCTATCTTCTCATAGCAAGGAAGTACATTGTTTGAACAAAGTAACAATACATATATCATAAACTTCCTGTTAGTCATGTATTACCAGTAGCTATGGATTCTAATTGGCTTTCACATCAAGTAAGGTAGGAAACTTCCCTCCTTGCTTTTTTTGGGGTAGTTTTTAATTTCAGTTTGGATTATACTTGGGAAAAAATTCCATCTATTTTCTCTTTTTTTCTTTTTTATCCTAACTTCCTCAGAGCATCTTACTGGCTCAAAACAGAGTCCTCGGACCCAACCCCGAGACGAAGACTATGAAGGGGCTCCGTGGAATTGTGATAGCTGCACCTTTCTGAACCACCCAGCACTAAATCGCTGTGAGCAGTGTGAGATGCCACGGTACACTTGAATTCCAAAGAGTCTGCACCAGGTTGAGAGTGAAACTTTGAGCATCCATTTAAAGAAAAGGAAACCTTGGGAATCTGTTCATTTGCCCAGCCTTTTTATTTCAGATGCCATGTGGGGAGGAGGGATGACACTGTAGCCTCTTGTGCTGACTAAAGGAAAAATGGGAGGTCTTTTTTCCTTTCTTAACTCTTGCAGAGTGAGAGATAGAAAGGGGTACTTGAAACTGGGAAAGGGTTCACTCCTGAGAGAATGTACACAGAGAAGTCAAGAGCTCTTCTGTGGAATCCCAGTTGTTAAAGTTACTGCTGAGAGGCCCTTATTTTATAAAGGAGAACTTTGAATCACGGTGTGACATGTTACAGTTTATGCAAACAAACTGTGAATTCCCAGAGCACTTACCTTGTCACAGCTCTCTGGAAAACCAAGGCTCCCCATGCTTCTTCCCGTTGCTTCCTCCTGAAGAGGACAGGAAAAAGCACCCAGAATATGATTCTTTTTTCGGGGGTGGGGGTGGGAGGGGCAAAATAATAAGGGTATTTGTAATTGCTGCTTTTTTCAGGGGTAATTTCAAACAGAAGATGTTTTACAATGTGATTTGTAGCAGTCAGGAATTAGGCACACTGTGCCCTTTGTTTGAAAGTACAATCAGAGGTGATAAGATCCCTTTTGCTTGTACAATGATTCATCAAGCTACATCAACACTGGTGACTAAGACCTAATTATGCCATATAATAGATACATTTTTTTAAGTTACTGCATGCTTTTATCAGGCCACTGGTTTTAAAAATAACAAGTCCTTACAAAGTATGAGTTTATGAATGACCTCATATAACTGCGCTTTGCCACTAGCACAGTGAATGTATGCCAAATGTAAATCCATTCCAAAATCCATTTGGAAATCTTGAGCACAGCTGTGGTTCTATAAGAAATGTTTGCAGTCCATAGGGCCTGATTTTTTTCTCTCCAATTTTGTGATCATTTCATAATGTTTACAGGACAGATAATATTTTGTGCCATAATCCTAACCTAGCTGAAAAAAATCAATATTAGCTATTCAGTAAAGATTTGCACATATGTTAATAAACCAGTGCAAGGGAAATTACAGTTGGCCAATACCATAAACTTGCACACTGCGTTATTTGGGGACGGAGAGAATGTTAGTCAAGAAATATGATTAAGAGAAGGGAAAATACAAAGGACTTTGAAACTAAGACCTTTTAAAATTTCACATACTGTTCAGAGATAATACTGAGTTTGTTCAGGTAGTTCACGTGATAACAAAAGCACTCCTTATTTATGAAACCAGAACTTTAGGACATGAATAACTGAAGAGATAAAAAGTCATGTGACTTACTAGGGTACACCACTGGAAAATTAATAGGCCATTTAATCAAGGTCTCTACCATTGTTGACTTACCTTGCTAGCTCAGAATTCAATTTTGGAATCTTCCCATTACTTGAGTGAATATAAACAGCAATAAAATTGGTAGGTTTTCTAATCCTAAAGGGTTTTTACCTGAGGTTATTATAGTGGAGATACAATGTCCACTGTACCGCACCAGGTATCCCCCCTACACACTCACTCACTCTCTCTCTCTCTGTCTCTCTCTCTCTCAAGCTATCATTGTATTCTTTTTTAACAATAATCTTGGCAGACCTGGAAAAAATAAGCTGCACTTAATAGCATAATGAAACCAAAGGCATAATCACTCATCATAGTTTTCCATCAAAATCATAATTTTACACTTTTATCTACAACTTCAAAACCATTGTTTCGTTTGTGAACAATTCCCTAAAAAATACCCACTTGTCTCAAATTAAGCATGTGTGTAATTACACTGATAGGACATCTCTCATACAACTATGGCAAAACTGTGAAAATAATGGTGAGAAAGCAGATGGGCTTAAAAGCATTGACCTGAAAACAGCATTCTTTAAAGGCTTTTGTAACACTGGTAGCTGTTAGTCTCCAGCAACAGTCCATCAGTCCTCCTGTTTTGCAATATGCCAGTGCCTTTGTATGGTTTCATATCTCTTATTAGTGATGGTCAACCCCACTTAGTATTAAGTAATAAATAGGGGGAAATACATACGTATACTGCTTGGTGTTCTAGCTACAGGTTTACCAGTATTCTTAGTGATATGCCGAAGTGGCAGCAATGACTTGGCACTTGTCAGTTGAAAATGAAAGTATCGTGTATGAAAACAGTTTGATGCTTTATTAAAACCATGTAGATGACTTTAAAACTATTGCATGAACTTACATCCAGGTTACTAAGCTGTGATCATACAGTAGATGCATGGTTCCAGTCCTTTGGTGATAAATCTTACACATCATTGTTTTTACCTGCCAGGAAAAAAGTGAGAAACCAGTCTGTTGGATAGATGTAGAGGGTGGGGTATCAGAAATTGATTTGAATGATGTTTGTGTATGTTCATTTCTGGTTGTGCACAACTTTCATATGCCAACATAGGCTGTACTCAGTTTTTCAAATAAGCAAGGTTATTTGACATTGAAAAATTGGATGTATTTAACTATGTCCCATATATAGATTACTTCTTGCCTATGAGCAGTTCGAGAATTCAGTCAACTTTCAAGGTGCCTTTCCAAAAGATCTCCCAGTTGGCTATACAGACAATTGGCCTGTGAGTGGCAGGCAGCCTACTGAGGTGCTTCAGCACTTTGCATCAGTTAGTGCACTTAGGTCTAGTGAAGAGGGTTTTTTTCTTAAAATAAGACTAGTCTGATGTATCTGACACATAGATCTGACTATACATTTTTTACATTCTTTCACTGTTTTGTAAACTGGGTTTTTAGAAAACACATTTGCCATTTTGTTAAAGTATATTGCCTCTTAAATTTTGGAGTAGGTCGTATAAGCTGATTGGGGTAATAGAGGAACCAGAAACTGTCTGGGCCTGTAAAATTGATAGTGACCTTCTTTAGGGGGAGTGTAGAGGCAGGGAAGTTTTAAAGAAACAAAAGAAATACATTGTAAAAAAGGTAGTTTTAGAGAAGATTAATGATGGTTGGGAAAGTGTTGCTAATTTGTTTGTTTATTTCCCTGAAAGAAATGGGAAGTGTGATAAGCAGTTTAATTTTTAAGGAGCTGGTCTCAATTTTAGTACCTTTTAATTATTAAAAGAAATCAATGTTTGCTTAAATTTTGTCATTACTTTGTCCCACCTATCTAGGGTTCATATACAACTTTCTGTGGCAACTCAATTCTATATAGTATTTTAAAGGTAACTGTAATGTCTTAGAGAGTATGAACAGAAAGTAAGACTATAAGAACATAGAAAAATTGTCCTTTGAAAATATCAGTGACGTATCCTGGAATGTGAAGATGTCCCTTTATAGTTAAAATCGATTTATTTTAATATTGTAATCATTGTCCAGACTTGGAATGAGTCCATGTTACAGTGTGTCTGTATATCTATCTGTAGAGAAAGAAAAATGACAATTGAAATGTTACTTTAAAAAAAGTCAGAATTGGGCACTGTCTGTGTTGCACCACTACTGTATTTTTTGAAAGAATTAACAGTATTTTCTTACTGTAAAAGGAAGTTCTAATGACATTTTCACATTCACCAGACGTGCATTTTTTTTTGTATTATTCACATCCCCAAATATTTAATACAAATAGATTTTGCATGGCTTGGGCATTCAGAGATTAATAGAATGAATTAATTTTAGTGTCTAAAGCCATGAAAAATTGCTTTGAGACTGAACAATTCTGAATTCTTATTTATGACACCCAATGTCTATATTTCCCTACTATAAAAGAATTGATCATTTTCTTCATTAAAGCAGCAAGAACTTAAATCTTGTAAATACCTTGTCTCTTAGATTTCTGTGTATGCTGTGAATCAGATTATTTTGAGGTGAAATTGTACAAAGGCATTTTAAAAAGCTATGCATGCATCGTACTTCCAAACAGTATATATTCGGAAAGTCAAAGATTCCTGCAAAATAAATTAATAAACTAAAAGCAAACACTATATTCTGCATCTTTTTTCTGTGTAGTGAGAAATGATTTATAGTATACTAATCCTAGTTCCAGAACTCATATTTCTGGACTGAAATATATATACTGTGTCAGAAACCTAATCTTTCACCACATTTCTGTTCCTCTGTCAGCACATGAAGTAATGTTAGATTTCAGGTATTCTGTACATTGCTCTAATTTAAAAATTGGATAAATTTTATGTATAAGCAAATTTTATATAAAAGAATATGTTAGGAACCTACCTTTTTCATTCTACTTCATGTTACTCTACAAAATAATGACTATCTCTTTTAATCTTTATATCTTTTGTAGCTACTTTTTCAAAAGCAAATACTCACAGACAGCATAACCCTCATCTTGCTAGGGTCTGTAGTCATCAACCTCCCCAACTTACATACAGAAATCACCACAAATAATAAATAATAGTAGACATCCTTTTCAGTGATTAAGCATATTTAAAGTCAGTAATTTCCACTATTTTTTTTAATTCATGAAAATTTGCAAACATACACAAGTACAGAAGAATCGTGATACCACATTTACTCATTACTCAGCTTCCAAAATTATCCCTATATGAGCAATCTGTTCCATCTGTATTCTTATCTACCCACTATTTTTGAAAAACTCCTAGACATCATAGTAATTCAACAACTGTAAGTAAATTCCAACCATATATCCATATCACACAAAATCAATTGTCAAATAACCAGTATTGTATTTCCCGAGCAGTCTCATGATTTTTTAATAAGCATGTGTAAATTAGAGCCTAAATGGAATACTTGAATTGATAATCATGTATATAAATTTTCCCTCCCCCTCAGTTGGACATCTTTAGGAAACTTTCCCTTGTTAGCTATTTGGTTACCCTCGACCACAGCTTACAGTGAAGTTATGCATAGAAAGAGCATCAAAGCTAACCTTAAAACCACCTTGTGAGGTATTTTTCCAATTCCCCTTTTCCTCATTATTCCCCACATCTCGGAGAACTACATTATGTATCTGTATAATAACTTCCTTTTAGGTATTGATCAGCTCAGTTTTCCATACAGAAGTTTGGGGGACTGTTGGTTGTGGAACTCCCAGTGTTTGTTGCCCAACTGCATTCCTCCAAAGACTTCCCGACTTGACTTCAGCTTGTTGACCTTTTTCTCAGACGACATTGCTCAGGTGATGTTTCATGATAGAGGTTTCAAAGGTTTTAATAGGTTATATAATATGTGGGTGAGATTTTTTGATTGACTAGAGATTCTTCAGAGCAGTCAAGCCATCTGACTTGTTCTGCTTCTAGAACAGTGGTCGGTGTGCTGGTGACTACTCATTCAGGACAATCTGGTGGTAAGAAATTAGAGTGCAGGAAAAGTCAGATGAGGCAGCCCAGCTTGCTACAGTTTTGCATTGTAGTTCTGGAACAAAATGCTATTTTTTAAATTAAGATATCATTGATATACACGCAAATGCTATTTAAAAGTACTCCACATCACTTTGCTTTCATCTGACTCATTTATTCATTTATTCTTTTGGGGTCAAAGGCTGTTTTCACTTAGTTCTGTTCCCTTGATTGAGAACCACTAATATCTATAGCCATTTCTAAATCCCATCCCCCAACTGTGATTTCTTTTAAATCACTGAGAATAGTCTGCTTTAGATAGGCATTTCAGAAAGGCATTGGACTTGGAGGAAAATTGGGCTAGCATATTGAAATAGCTTGCACTCTCTCTATACTTTGACAATGAATCAAATGGTCACACATGAGTGGAAGTCTCCTATTTCAGGATTACAACTTGAGTTTTGCTTCCCAAATTCTACTGAAATAACTAATGAAAACATTGTTTAAGGGTTGGATAACAAGAAGGGTATTCTTAGGGGATCAGAAGTGATAGGATGCTGATGGTGATACATTGAGGACAGTAGCACCCAGTGTCAGTCAGTCCACAATTCCAGCCACCAGTGAAGTTCAAGCAAAGCAGGTCTGTGACACTGCAACAGCCCATGAGGATCTCCAGATTGAGCAGCAAGCAAGTGGAAGGACCTGTGTCCTGGATAGGAAGCACAGATATTGGGGCATTTGCTTTTTGTCTTGTACCACTGTTCACTAAAGAAGGAAGGAAGGTGCCTAATAGGAGTGCTTTGGCCGCATAGTTAAGTGGCATGATGCACAAGGTTAACTTCAAGCTACCACAGTGAACAATGGAGGGAAAACCTGCTTGGCCCAGCTGCCGGTTACAGGGAGCAACTTTTAACCCAGTAGCAGGTACGTGAGCAGCACCCACTGGCTCTTGCATATTAGGTGGCAAAAAACAAATGCTGAGCCCAAAACATCAAACTTCCCTGTCTATATACTCTGTAACTGAGAAATTTCTAATTGAGAAAAAGCTACAGAAAAAGTAGAAAACTTTACACTTTCTTTTATGTTAAGGATTAAAAGATTTGAGCAGTGTGACCCATAGTTTAAAAGTTCCTTAAAAAGTAGTGAACATACAGGAAGATGCAGCATTCTGGAAGAAGGACCTCATTCTACAGAGTCAGAGCAGAAAAGAAAACTAATTTCTAATTTTAACCCCAAAACAAAATTTACAGAAATGTCTCTCTCAAAAAGGATCCGTAAGATCAATGGTTGCCTTCAAAGAAAACTAATTTTTATGAAATTCTTAACTGCAAGTATGGTAGTGAGACTTCAGAAAACTGAGTCAACAGAGAAAGTAGGATTCAAAGGAAAAGAGCTGAAGATCTGACACACGAGAAACATGAATTCTAGGTCCAGGAGATGCTGTAAGGAGTACTAGAGGAAGGAACACACTAGATAGATAAGCAGGGATACCCATATCCCAAGGCCAAGCTGATGTGTAACGTGTATGGGAAATTGCTTTTCGAAGCCAACAGCTTGAGAAGGCATGTGAGTATACATAAAGCAGTCAAACTCTACATCTGCCACAAGTGTGTAAGATAATCACCTAGTGCAGTCAGCTGAAAACTCATGTTAGAAGTCACAGGTGAGAAGCCATACATATGTGACTTATATGATAGAGGCTTTGCTCAAAAATGCCAGCCACCTTCCCATAGTCATATGAATTATGGTGAGAGGAAAACCTATAAATGTAATGCACGTGATTGACAATTTACAACTAGCAATCTTCAGATTCACACAGTGGAGAAAAGCCGTATGTTTATGATAGGAGTGAATAAAGATCTGCCCAAGGCAGCACATTGACCTATCACAGTTGTAGGTACACTTGCATGCATCATACCCGTGAGAAGGCATTTGCTGTCTCTAGTTCTCCTGGCACACACACTTGAAGCATACAGGGGGAAAGCCATACCTAGGGGGTTATCGGTGGGAAAACTTTTTTAGCTCAACAAAAACTTTTGATCTTGTCAGTAGGAAAGCCCATTTATTATATCAAAATTCTTACAAAGCTATTAAAAATGTAAAGAAGCATAAAATGAAAGTCCATTCCATAAGAAACAAAGCTCTAGATTTCTAGTGCTTTGAGTGAACAAGTTTCCATATGGAAATGTCCCATATCAGGAACTATGCATTTGAAGATTTCTGAAATACTAGCTCTAACTAGCTCTTCCATTTAGGACTTTTTTTCTTTTTTGTTACTATTATATTTTATTGAAGTATAGTTGACGTACAATATTAAACTGGTTTCAGGTATACAACACAGTGATTCAACAGCTAACTACATTATTAAATGTTCACCCCAACTAGCTACCATCTGCCAACATAGATGTTACAGAACTATTGACTATATTCTCTCTGCTGTACTTTCATCCCCATTACTAATTATGATTGCGGTTTTGTGCCTCTAACTCTTTCACCTATTTCACCCCAACCCTGCCATGGTAACCACCAGTCATTTCTCAATGTCTTGAGTCTATTCCTGTTTTGTTCATTTTGTTTACATTCCACATGGTAAGTGACATTATATGGTATTTGTCTTTCTCCTTCTGGCTTATTTCACTTAGCATAAGATCCTCTAGGTCATCCATGTTGTCACAAATGTCAGGATTTCTTTTTATGGCTGAATAATATTCCATTGTATATATGTAGTATGTCATCTTTATCCATTCATCTATTGATGGGCACTTTGGTTGCTTCCATATCTTGGCTGTCATAAATAATGGTGCAGTAAGCATAGGGGTGCATGTATGTTTTCAAATAAGAGATTTTTGTTTTCTTTGGGTATATACCCAGAAGTGGAATTACAGGGTCATATGGCAATTCTGTTTTTAGTTTTTTTGAGAAACCTCCAGACTGCTTCCCACAGTGGCTGCACCAATTGACATCCCCACCAACAGTGCGGGAGGGTTTCCTTTTCTCCACATCCTTACCAACACTTGTTCTTTCTTGTCTTTTGGATAATTGTTTAGAACTCAGTATTCTGGAGGAAATGATGCACAGTGCTTTTGGTTTGAAACTCCATTTTCAAAATGAATTTCAAATACATACTTGGTGTTTTTATCTTGCCAAAAGAGAATTTCAAAATTCAATTCAGCTTGTTTCATTTCTAATAGATTGGTAAGTTGCCGAAGATAAGAAAAATCTACTCTTGAAAACTTCTGAGAATCCTCTCGTAGGCCTGTTAATGCCCTTTTAAAAAATGAATAAATTCTAAAAAGGATTTTCTAAATATAAACAGTGCATGATGTAAATCTGATGAATTAACTTACATAATAAATGGTAAGACATTAACTTTATATTTTGAGATATTAGAAGGTAAATTTATATGTTTTTATTTGAATGTCTATAAACCATCTATTTTAAAATTTCTTCAGTGTCAGACCTCAGCGTTTGGTTCTTGTGGTGGTCCCACAGTGGTCCTTTTCCTAGCTAATAGGTACAGACAATGCAGGATCAGTTGAAGTTACCTACTACGCTTCGTCTTCATACCTGGCCTCTGCATTGATTTATTGCATTGCCTGATCTGTGACCACTAAGTAATCGGCTGCACAAACTCAGTTCCTAAACTGCTGGCTCCAGCAC